ATTAGTATATGGGTGCATGATAAGATAGTCAAGTTCACTAGATTGATCCGCATAGAGATATCCTTTAAATGCCAAAGGATTAATCTCTAAGTGATGTTTGTGTAAGTGATCTTTAGACTTAAGATTAACATAATATTTTGAGTGTGGGTGGTTATATTTTATTTGCTATATGATTGCTCCTGTACCAAGGGATGCTCATATTAATATCAAATGGGTATATATTTGAGGTAGGGAAAGATGGTTAATAACATATAAGAATTTATGACCTCTTATGAAAGAGGAGCTATCTCATATCCGGCCATTTATACAAGTACAATTCAAAATTCTTAGCACTAAGTGAAAGAGTCTTAGAAAGTGTTTCTAAGTATTTTTTTTCAGTGGAGTTATATTTTAGTACAAGAAATGAACATTAATCACATAATAGAATAGGCACAATTTATTCTAAGATTAATATGAGACAAGTGTGATAAAAGGATATTAATTACACAGTAAACATTTACTAAAAGGTGAAGTCATCCACTTAACTTTTCTCATTACTTGGGTGGTCATGATGCATTGTTAGATGTCAACCTTGATTTATAAGAATGAGTTGATTCATTAGTGGAATCAACGATAAATTAGAAGGAGTTTTAATTTATCTAGTTCTTATTTATTAAGAATTATAACTCATGCTTATTGCTAACGTATATAGGAATCTAATCGGTCACAGACATTAAGAACATCTTCAACTACATTAAAAGAATTTCAAGTAGGGACTTGAAAGATAAGTTTTCATAACTTATAGTTAATCTTGAGGCACTTATAGTGCAAGTAAGTTTAAATTTGTCAAATACAAGAGTTATATTAGAATAGAGAAGGTAAATCCTAATGAAAACTACTTTCAGGTTTACATAAGGATATGAATAATTTATTTGTCTATAAATAATACTAGCAAAACTAATTGACACACAAATTGTCTTGTGAGATTTTTGAGAAAAATCTTAAGAGGGAAATACTCAAAATTCATCCAAGAAAATAAGGAAAAAATCATATCTCTTATTTATGTCATTTGAGTGGGTTTTTTATGGTAGAAAACTAGGGTTTTCTCAACCAATTTGTATGAAGTGTTTTGAGAATAGTTAGCACTAATCTAACTTAAACTAATTGAATCTTGGAGGTTCTAGCCAAAGAGAATCTTATGGATCACAATTAGAGGCCAAACACGTGTGCGGCTACGTGGATCACTTTACCATCCTCTTCATCAGATCTCCATCAGTTCAAGAAGATCTTCATGAGTTGAGGTAACGTTCTTGAATAGACTCTTGGTCTCATGGATTTAATTGATCTACTAAAGGAATAAAAAAATTTTAATTTTTTCACTATGCTTGTCTCTATGATTTCTTACAAGAAGTTGGATAAAATACTAAGACTTCATTAAGAACTAATCATTAGATAGATGTTAAATATGGGTATCTATTACAACTACTTATGTGAATAACATAGGCAATGATCAATTTTTGCAATTGGTACTTTTAAGTGAAAACATTAAGGAAGTTCTAAATTAAATGAAAAGTAGTAATAATATTTAGAAGACTTAAGTAGCAGACTAAGAAGGAAAATGTGTATAAGGTTAAGGAATTTTTGTAACTCATGAGCTAATGATTGTAAGTGCAGTTGAGAAGCTTTATGTTAAGATTGTGAGTAGATGAGGGAAGTTACAAGTTCCTTACTAAAGACATTTAGGTGGATAGTATTATATATAGGGTGTGTTAGAACTAATTAATGCTTAGGAGAGATAGCAAGTTAAAAGATCAGTTTGACAAATGAGTTTATGAGTGTTTGCTTAAAAATTTACTGTAACTTATTGTTGAATTTGTAAAAAAAAAAAATTAAGTCGTAAAACTTTTTTTTCTTTTTCTTTCTTTCTTTTTCCTTTTCTTCCCTCTCCTCTTCTTCTCCCTCATTACTGCACCGTTGTAGGCGTAGGAAGCTCCATAGGAGATAGCAATTTTTTTTCTGTTTTTTTCTCTCTCCCCCACTTCTCCTTCTTCCGCCCTCCTCTCCTCTCCTCTCCCCTGCTTCTACTCCTTCCTCCTCCCTTCCTCTCCTTGTCCTTTCCCCTTCCCTCTCCCTTTCCCGTGCCACTCTCCCCATCCTCCCCTTGTGCGATCTGGTCATGCTATCATGGACGGGGAAGGGAGAAAGGGGAGGACCTCTCCTCCCTCATGCGATCTAGTGGCGCTACCATGGCGGGGGGAGGAGCTGGCGAGGGAAAAGGGAGGAGGAGGGAGAGGGGAGTGGAGAAGGAGAGGGAGGGAGGAGAAAAGAGGAGAGGGAAAGGGAGAAGAGAAAGAAAGAAAGTAAAAAAGATATGGCCGGCTCCCATGCCGGAAGAGTTGTCGACTGGTGTTGGCTGACAATGGAGGTGGTGGTGGGTTTGAGGTGGGGGAAGGAAGAAGAAGAAAGGAAAAAAGGGAAATTTTTTGTATGTTTTTGAGTATTTTGAAATCTGTATTTTAAAATTTTTGAAATTATTGTAGTTAAAATTGTTTAAAAACTTGTATGAGAAAATTTTGGCAAAAAATTAGTTTGCCAAACAGGTTTGAAAAGTATGTTGCTTTTTACCAATAGGGGTGAATTCGGATCCGAAGGTAAGAATCACTTCCGTTAGATTTTTATTCATGTCAAGAAAGTGAAGAATTTCTAATGGCTTGCTATGCTAAGATTAAAGTAGTATACTAATAGATTTGGTTGTTACTCTAAACTTAGTATATCATGTTGCACGTTCACTGTGCTTGCATGTAATTGTGAATGTTTGGCAACGTATATTGATTACTTAAGACACATTTTGGCTTGCTACTGTAATATGGTTGATCTAAAAGTTGTTCATGTCTAAATGTCTTATGTGTGTTAAAACTGAAATTGTTCTTCGGAAACTATGACTGCTATGTTTATAAACAAGGGATGATCATGGTTATGTATGTGTTTCAAGTGTTAATTTGTTTGCATGGGATAATTTGCAGTGTTTTCAGAACCGGAACGGACCAGCCGGTTCAACCAATTGGACCGCGAACTGGCCTTAGCTCTGGTCCGATTGATTACTAAACCCAAAAAATAACATAAAATCATTAAGAACCGGTCAAACCTTTTGAACCGATAAAAACTGGACGAACTGAGAACCGGCGGTTTTTGAATTTACTAAAAAATTAAGTTAAACACAACCTACACTACACTAAAAGATAAAAACCGTAGCGCTTACTAATAGTGCCGCTTTCCTCCAACCCTTGGTCCTTTTTCTTCCTTTGGCTTCAAGACCTTCATAGATTTTGTTCCTTCTTTCATGCTTCATCTGCAACTCCATAGATCTACAAATTCTCTCCATTTGCAATTTCGGCAAGTGAACAAGTTGGTGAAGACTCCATTTTCTTTTGCCAAATCCAGGATCTTAGGTGCGTTCAACATTTAAACTTTTCCCTTTGAAGATTTTCATCTGTATTTTTTTTGTTCTTTAGTGCTAATTAATTTTGATTTACTTTTCTGTGCAGTAGTTTTGATCATTTTCTTTAATGTAAAGTTCGACCTTTATTTTTCCATGAACAAACTTCACCTCCTGGTCTTAACGGCAATTAAATATCAACATGTTTGTTCTTTTTTTTTCTTCAACTCAACCAGGGGATAGAAATTGATAAAGTCAAATAGTACCCAATCCACTAATGTCACAGCTTTTGTTAACATATAATAGATGTTCCTAGGCTATAATATTTTATTATCTATCAATGTTAACATCCTTTCTTTTTTCTTTTCTTTAGCCTTATGATTGTCTGCTGGAGTTCAATTCATACCACTACTATTATTTAAACAAGCAATGTTCCTTATCATGAAGTATACATCTCAGTTCATTTACCAGCATTAGCCCAATAAAATCGTGCTCAAATTAAATTTTATTAATTATATAATGCTTCAATCTTTTGTTGCCTAGCTAGTTAGTCCCAATTTTGTCAGTAACTTTTTTAGCATACTTTTTAACTTTTAAGTGTTTGGTTTACATTTTATTGCCTTTTTTTCTTGTAAAGTTGCTTGAAATCTTATATTAAGTTGGTTGATATTTCTATTTTTTTTTTAATTTTTGGAGTTAGATGTGAGTGGACTTATCTCATGACAGTGAACTTGTGACTTTTCAGGTTTGAACGATGAATTTGTGAAAATGATGATGAATTTGAAGTTAATTGTATTTTATTGCCCTGTGTTGATAATAAACACTACAACAAAAATGGCATTTAGCGGCATTTAACGGTGTCAGTATAAATTATCTAACCTGACACTTTATCTATCCTCACACTTAGGGCGAGTGTTGTCCCTTCCAATGTGGGGATAGCCTCAAATCTTTAGTAGCATTCAAATGTGTCAGGAAAACAATGCTGCTATAGCATTCCTTCTGCCAACAAAAACAATTTTTGTGATAATCGAAAGTGTCCATATAGCTTTAGAACATCAGTAGGATATCCAACTTTTGAAGTCTTAATATTTGGCTTTAAGGACACGCAGCCATGTGAATTTACACTGCTTTGGACGACATGGCCATTTGTCATTAGTGTTTTTCGACCTAAGCTATGCTGACACTTTTAATTGCCAGGAGTTTTTTCCCTGTTTTTTTTTATATGGAAGCAACCTGCAATTAGTCCTCCCTGCTGTACATTCCATCAACCAGAATCGCAAGGGACTTGTAAAATTATCCCAAAGAGCAGAATGCATATAGCAATTTAAAAGAAGAAGTCAATACTCAAATATATTTCATTAAATTAAAAGTGGATAACAAGTACTAAAATCGCAAACAAGTGCTAATTAAAAGCAAGTACTAAAATTCCAAACCAGTACCAAAAGATTGTCATTTACAATAACTTGAAAGACTTTCTTGTGCACAAACTAAAAGACTCCCATCCCTAACAAGTTGAAAGAAGTAGAAGTAGCTTCCAAACTTTCCATTTTATTGAGAGTCCTCAGTCATAACCATGAAGTCCCCATCATTCTTCAGCTGTTTCCACCTGTGCACAAAGACCAAGGGGATCATTAGATCATCATAGCTAGAACTAAAATTCCAGAAAATCTGCAATGTATTTAAGTGCATATCTCACCAAATGACAAGGCCAAGCAACTGGTGCACCAAGTGCATCTTGAATTGTTTGCTGCAAATCATACGGTCTAATCAATTGCTCACGTGGACTCATTGCAACTTGTATCTGTATTTCACACCAGTTTGGCCCAAGAGCTTGTCCCCCGACCTCATCCAATGGATTCAGACTCCGTAAATATCCCTTTGCCACGATTTTTGTTGGGTCAAACAAACTTTTTAGTGAAACCATATTCCCTACCTAGTAAAGATCCAACAAGTACAAGAATCAAACTCATGCCAAATTTCAGATTACAAATGTGAAAGTTTAAAAGTTGTAAATACTTACTCGAATAGGTCGCGTGGCTCGCGATGGAGTTTGGCTTGACACATTGTTAGATGATGATGAATGATGTCTCGGGCTGTCAATGGAGAGCCCCTTCCATGTTGAACTAAAACCATTTTCTTCAAGCTGGCTATTTCATCATCTTGTCACTGAAGCCTTTCCTCCAAACGGACCAATGTTGACTGTTGTTGAACACTTATACGGTAACATGTGTTACGACTAGGAATGTCTTCCCATAAGTCCGTTGGATTCACACCGTCACTAAACAAGCGAACATGACCATGTTTGTCTTGCCCAACCACCTGGGCAAATATATCATTGCGACCAACTGGATCTTGCGACTCCGATGGAAGCTGATTTTTCAGCTCATTCATTTTTTCCTACATAATAAAGGAAAACACTTGTTATTGCAAAAGCCTGTCTGAAAACAATGGTAGAATTTATAGGCTTGTGTTCTCAGATCCTTACCAAATTCTCAGCAACTATGGTACTTGATGGAGTTCTATCGGCATGGGTATAAAACTTATTGAACATTTCTACTCTAGTAGGAGGTCTTCCCAACTGTTTGACCTATAAGAAATTGAATTTTTTTAATTATAATTTTAGCATTTAGCATATAATTAAAAAACAAGCTAACATAATGAAACATGTACGAGTAAAAAAAATAGCAACTAAAAAAAGGATGAGATATCACCAAGTGGTTCCGAAGATGAGCAAATGACTTTTTTCCAGTTGTGTGGTTCATCTTCTTCTCCCCTCTAGCTTTCTTGTTCCTCTCACTTAGTTTCTAAATTTCAAAATCAAAAGCAAGATTACAGCATTGAATAAACACAACTTTATGAAGAATGTTGTAGCTGATTTGTACCTTTGCTTCTTCACTTTTCCAATAAGCCCAAAGTTTGATCTATTGCTCTTCTCGTACCCTTATGTCCTTTTGAAACCGAGCTTCAGCATTTGGCACGGCAGGATCAAAATATGTAGCCTTTAAATCTGCCTTCCAGCTTCTCTATTTTTTGCCAATAAATCTTAAGGTCCAAGCTTCTAGTCCCATAGGCAAAGCAAACCTTTCCTGAAACGTAGTTAGGAACTAGAAAATCAACATAACTTCACAGTAATTTTTGTAGAAAGCATACATAATACAAAAGCTACCATTACCTTTATCACTTCTAACATGTCCATTTTAAGTTTCCTTGGCATCTTAAGCCAACTTTCAACATCTATTGGACAATACATATCATTCCTAGCCAAACTGCCCAAGAATTCAGAGAAAGAGGTTTTCTCACTTATTGGGATCCCATTGTCATCGAGTTTAATCTCAATCCGTGGAAAGTCCTTAGGCCGACCCCAAATTTCTTTCATAAATGTAGGGCCTCGGGTTTTCTGATGTACTTCACTTGAATCATTTGTAGTTTCTTTTCCTATATTAAATAAGAAAAAGGTGCAAGTTATGAACATAAAAAATGCACTTCTGGAATTGGTTCAAACAGTTAGTAATACCTGCATCGTCCGAGTTGCATGACATGAAGGTGGTGTCATTGGAATGTTGACCTTGAGAATCCTGATTTGGATTTTTTTCAGTTGGTATGTGCCTTGTTCCAAGTGGAGATTGTTGAATTGGAGAGTTCTGGCACTGCTCATGCGACTGTGAACCTCCATCAGCTTGTTGAGTAACTTGGTCACCTGATTCATGCATTATTCCCAATGTAGAATTCTGGATTGGAGATTGAGGTGCCCGAGCAGCTTCTCCTTGAACTTGTTCAATTACATTTTCATGGCTTGTTCCAAGTGGAGGCTGCTGCCTTGTTTCATGACATGAGGGAGGTTGCTCAATTGGTTCATCTCTCAATCCATTTGCAGCGCGCTTACATTTTCGACCTCTACGGGCCATACCTGCATAATTCACCATTTATTTGATACCAGGTCCACCACCATATATATATTTTTTGGGGGAAGAAAGGGACAAATGTAAATGTGTAGCCTTTATTGAAGCAGACACTCTACCTATAGCAGTGCATCAATCTGGGATAATGGATAAAGTATACAAACTAAAATTAATGAACAAGTTATCTTGACTACAGCTTACACTGCAAGCCGAGCTCAAGCATACTTTTATTGAACTAATTTTGAGTTGCAACGAATATTATTGAATCTATTGTATATCAAACTCGGGCAGTTTGCTTCTAATTATATTTGAAAAACCTTTTTGCTTATAAATCAGAACTTGAAAACAGCTTTAAGAACTTGATGATTACAGTTGGGTAAATTTGACGAAACCCACAAATCAATTCTCAAAATCCTAGTACTATCATCTCTATCAACAAAATGTTCTCACGTCACAAGGTCTGCTCAGGTTATGTAGTTCCATTTGAGAGGTTACTAAAAAGCTCCCATGGAAAGTAAAAACAGAGCAGAACCAAAAGAAGTCCATCATTCATGGGGAAACCCCCTACTTGCTCAAATCAAGCAGTCCAGCACACAATCATTTGCTGGTGAAAAACAAAACTAACATAATAGGCATTTTAGAACCCAATATCTACCAAGTACTAGCAAAGACACTTACAATTTTCAACAATCATACTAGAATCCAAAGCTATCATTTTCATTTGTGACTACAAATTTCCTCATAAACAATCAGCACCAACAATTTAGAAGTCCAGGATTCATGAGGAAAAAAACTTTGGAAATTTACTCTTTAAAGTTGTAACAGAAAGCAACTGACAATACACAACACTATGTCGCATTCGACAGCTCTCACAAGCCACATTGTCCTAATCTGACAAGAAAGAAGAACAGATAGCATCTCTACCAGGCTTTCGACCTATGCAACTAGAAATGTGCTTCTCAGAAACGGAGAAGGAGGTTGTCAGAAATGGGAATCGAACAACCTAAATTAGACAGATGTCTACCATGCAATGCAAAATTAGACACAAAATACTGAAATTACCTCAAACTATGGCTTGAATCCCTAACTTCTCGGTTTCCCCAAGCTTAAAGATCTGAACTTTAGCTTTCACCCAAGCTTTGAAGCCCTAATTTCTCATTCCTTGCTACCAAGCCAATGCAACAGCCGAATTAGGGATTTTCATGGTGCGAGCTCAACAAAGTTACCTAAATGGGTTCGAGTTCATGGACGGGTTTATCCAAATTGGTGGTGCGAGCTTGAAACAGAGAGAGAGGGCAAAGGGAAGGGACAACGAGAGAGGGAGAAGATGTCTGAAATAAAGGCGGTACTAATGACGCCAAAGTAAATTAGTCAAGCCTCTTGAATTTTTCAATTTGCCGCGCTAATTTTTGTGTGTTTGGGCAAAATTTTGTTAAAGCTACATAACAACTAAAAATGTTATTACAGCTATCTACAATATAATATAACAACTACAAAAATAACAACTTAAAATTTTGTTAAAGCTATATAAGAAGTAAAAATTTTGTTAAAGCTATACACAATATAGTGTAACAACTAAAAATATCTTAAATTAAAAATTTTGTGAAGCTAACAAAAAACATGAATTTAATCAAAATGTTTTCGGTACCCAATTTATTTTATGCTACTAGCAATTATGTACGGCTTGTAGTCTAACAAGCCGTTAGAAGGATCGAATTAGTTTATGGAACATAAAAATGAACTTGTGAATACATGAACTTTCCACTGATAAATGTTAGGATTAGAATTGATTGAACATATATATATTCAATATTTTCAATTCCAAAGCAATTGCCGTTCAACTTTGTGTTTATTATAAGCTATTAAACACTTAGAAGATCTTAAATTTGAACATTTCACTGCAATTGCCGTGTAACTTTGCGTTAATTAGAAGCAATTAAACACTTAGAATATTCAATGTTTTCAATTCCAAAGCAATTGCCGTTCAACTTTGTGTTAATTAGAAGCAATTAAACTAGAATTCGGGTTGTCCGAATTCATATATTTCGAATTTGGTTCGAATTCGGTAATGGAGTTTATAAATTTTATATAATATTATATTATATTATAAATTTTATATTATATAATAAATTTTATATTAAACACTTAGAATATTCAATATTTTCAATTCCAAAGCAATTGCCGTGTAACTTTGCATTAATTAGAAGCAATTAAACACTTAGAATATTCAATGTTTTCAATTCCAAAGCAATTGCCATTCAACTTTGTGTTAATTAGAAGCAATTAAACTAGAATTCGGGTTGTCCGAATTCATATATTTCAAAGCAATTGCCATTCAACTTTGTGTTAATTAGAAGCAATTAAACTAGAATTCGGGTTGTCCGAATTCATATATTTCAAATTTGGTTCGAATTCGGTAATGGAGTTTATAAATTTTATATAATATTATATTATATTATAAATTTTATATTAAACACTTAGAATATTCAATGTTTTCAATTCCAAAGCAATTGCCGTGTAACTTTGCGTTAATTAGAAGCAATTAAACACTTAGAATATTCAATGTTTTCAATTCCAAAGCAATTGCTGTTCAACTTTGTGTTAATTAGAAGCTATTAAACACTTACAAGATCTTAAATTTGAACTTTCCACTAATAAACGTTAAATTAGTGGAAAGTTTGATGGTCAATCCAAAATTTCGACAAAACCGATTAAACTATCCCAAAGATCAGTTATGGAGTGGACATATATGCAATAACAATCCAAGTTCGGAATGATCGATTCGGTCGATTCGACCGGTTCGATTGTGTCTCCAGTCTTGTTCAATGGTTAATCCAAAAATTCAATTAAATCGAACAACCTTCAATCAAAGATTAGTTATGGAGTATATATACAGAATATGCAATAACAACGTTTGATCAGTATGATCGGTTTGATCTATTCGATCGTGCTTGACCGGTTCGATCGTGTCTCCAGTCACTTTAATGGTTAATCCAAAATTTCGACTAAACCGATTAAATTCGATCAAACATTAGTTCGACCGGAAATTTAGAGAATTTCACTTTTTGAATTGTTATTTATTTAAAAAATAATTTTTCCATTGTATTAAAAAATTATTTAAGAAATTTATCGATTAAAGTTTCAAATTATTTCTATTGATCAAAAATTAGAGAGGGGTGATTGGAAATCAAAAATTGGCCATAATACAATGATTCACTACATTAATATTACAGCTTACAATTAATGGAATTGCTTATAAAATAATGACCAGTATTTATCCAGCCCATTGGGCTCTTAAAATTAGTAATGGGTTGTTTTATGTTTGGTCTGAATTGATTTGCAAAAATTGCATTATATCTTACACTCAAAAGTTTAAAAAACAAAACAAAGAAATGATTATTGTAATTATCAAAAATAATAATAACAATTTTGTTAAAACATTTAACGAATCATAATCAAACTTGAAAGTGAATTTGATGGATAGCAATTTCCCATAACACAAAGGCATTTAGAGATTGCACAGAACATTTCAATTGAGACCATGTATGGTGTACGGGCAGGTGCTTGAATAAACACCATGATCTGCAATTCTGCAAATTTGAAACCATATTTGTCCCTTCAAATTTAGTTGCTGTATACAATAATCAAACGAACCAAAACTCACAAGCTTCAAGTAATTTTAGACCAACGAAATGTAGACAAGTAATTGCAGCCAGTAGTAGAGCCTTAGCAATTGAAACATATAACAATTAATAGGGCCAACAAGCTTAGCAACTATAAAAGATACTAAATCAGATTATATTGGGACAAATCAACTTCAATCCCAAGTCCATCCTCACGAACCCAACTAATTTCCTCATTTTCATTCTCAACAACAGGATTGCCAACATCACTTTGCAAATATGTCTCAACATCCATGGTTGTGCCCATGTTATATCCACCTCTTGCAGTGGTAGAGATAACAACTTGTCAATCCTTATCAGTTGGATCTTCCACATAAAAAACATGTGATGCTTGTGAAGCGAGTATAAATGGCTCAACATGAGGCCTCACATTTGCAAAATTGACTACAGTAAACCCATCAGCATCTTGTTTCATTCTCGAACCATTTGATATCCAATCACATTCGAATAACACCACCCGACGACCTCCATAAATTAATTCAACAACATTTTTCAAGACGCCGAAGTAGACTAGTTCACTCAAAACTGGATTTTGATCCCTTATACTTGCAAAACTAGATGTTGTTGCATTGACTGTAACACCACTATTCTGCGTTTTTCTTTTCTTCTCAACTTCATTGGTGTGAAACCGAAATCCATTAACAACATACTTGTCATGTTGGATTCCAACAACATCTGGACCTTTAGCAAGGAACCTCAAGTCTCTCAACACCGAAACATTTTGAGGAAGTTCTAACTTGTCAATCTGTAAAAAAAAAAAAAAGATGATAAAACTATATTTGAAGTCCTACAATTCAAATTGTACTTAATATTCAGAATTTTACTTACATGTTCAGCAAACCAACAAGCAAAATTTTCGCTGTGCAAGCGCTCTTTTAGATGCTGTGGAACTTGAGGATGCCATTCTTCTATCAATCTACGATGCTGCCTAGAAGTACATGAGTCAAAATTGTAATCATACATTGAATTCTACAATAAAATTTTAATGCATCAAGTTGTAGTTGAACTTACTCTATGTAAGGTGTGACAGCATCACAGTTAAATAAAATATACTGATGTGCTTTACTCAAGATATGAGCATAAAAAACTGTTGCCTTGCCCCTCCCCAAAGGATGTCCTGATTTAGAGAATATATCTAAACCCTCTTCAATTTCCTTATGTACTTCTTCATTTCTGCTTGGACGATTGAATTTTGTCTCAACATAGTCCGCAAGATACAACGAGCAAAAGTTTATGCATTCTTCTACCAAATAGCCTTGAGCAATCGAACCTTCAGGCCTACTTTTATTTCAAACATAAGATTTTAATGTTCCTAGGTACCTAAAGTATCATCATTCCAAACTCTCTGTTTAGTTCCACAAATCAAAGAAAGAAAAAAAGTAATAAACATTTAAGGCATAATTAGAATTACAAGCAGTACCTCTCTACAGGATACATCCAACGATAATACACCAGGCCACCTAATTTCACTTCAGTTGCCAAATGAATAGTTAAATGCACCATGACATCGAAGAATGTTGGTGGAAAGCATTTCTCAAGATCACAGAGTATAACGGCAATTTCACTTTCCAAACGAACCACATCTTGAGGACAAATAACTTTAGAACAAAGCTGCCTAAAGTATCTACTCAATCGAATCAAAGGATAGCGCACTGATTTTGGCAAAGTCTTTCTCAAAGCTATAGGCATCAATTGCTGCATTAGAATATGATTATCATGACTTTTAAGCCCCGAAATTGTTGGTGGCTTTACTCGAACGCATCTTGAGACGTTAGCTGCATAACCATCTGGAACTTTCACTTTTTTTAGCACATTGTAAAACATAGTTTTCTGTTTTTTATCCATTGCAAAGGAAGATGGAGGTAAGTAAACCTTTCCAGGTTCTGTCTCAATGGGATGCAGCTCTTTTCTTATTCCCATTTCTCTCAAATCACGGCGGGAATTATAATGGTCCTTTGCTTTATCCTCAATATCCAGCAATGTCCCCCAAATATTTTCACAAACATTCTTCTCAATGTGCATGAAGTCAAGATTATGTCTTAAGACATTATCTTTCCAATATGGCAAGTCAAAGAAAATACTCCTCTTTTTCCAATTAAAAGGCAATTTCGGATTACCTTTCACAAGTTTTCCAAATTTAATTTGCAAGTCTCCCAATTCACTCACAATCATATCCCCAGTTTGTAAAGGTGGTCGCTTTCCATATTCTTCGGTGCCATCAAACAATTGGGCTTACTTTCTAAATTTATGCTTACTATCTAAGAATCTACGATGACCCATATAGCAATGCTTGAAACTATGAGTCAACCGTCGAGCATGAGTGAACTTGTGACAAACAGGACAAGCATATTCACCTTTAGTGCTCCACCCAGATAACATTGCATATCCAGGAAAATCACTAATGGTCCACAACAGAGCTGCGTGCAATTGAAAATTTTCTTTTTGGGATGCATCATAAGTTTGAATGCCAAAATCCCACAATTCGGTCAATTCTTTAACTAGAGGCTGTAGATAAACATCAATATTATTCCCAGGAGTGGATGGTCCGGGTATTTTAACAAGGACAACATGAAGTACGGTTGCTTCATACACATCCACGGAGGTAAGTTATATGGTATTAAAACCACAGGCCAAGTACTGTGTGTAGAACTCATGTTGTTGAATGGATTAAACCCATCAGATGCCAACCCCAATCTAACATTTCGACAATCCTTAGCAAATTCTGGATGTAGATGGTCAAAAGTTTGCCAAGCTGGAGAATCAGCTGGATGTCTCATACAACCATCTTTTGTACGTTTTTCCTCATGCCATCTCATTTGAGATGCAATTTTAGAAGACATAAATAGTCTTTGTAATCTAGATTTTAAAGGAAAATGCCACAATACTTTTTGAGGGATTTTTCTTTTTTCACCAGTTGGATCATTTTCTGAAGCAACCCACCTAAGCTCGTTACATGTTTCGCATTAAGTTCTTTTTTCAGCACTACCCCAATAAAGAGAACAATCATTAGGACATGCATCGATCTTTTCATAACCCAGCCCCAATGTATTCATCAATTTCTCAGCCTCATAGTAAGAAGAAGGCAAATTAGTCATGGCCTCCGGAAATGCTTCTCTCAACAGCTCAACAAGCATATTAAAAATCTTGTTACTCATCTTACCAAGGCATTTTAGGTGAAGCAAACGAATAATGAAAGACAACTTCGAGAAATTTTTGCAACCACTGTACAAATCCTGTTGAGAATCATCAATCAATTTGTAAAATTTTTCAGCCTCTGAAACAGGAAAGTCCCCTTCTCTATTCAATTCATTTGTTCCATGTGGTATCCCAAATACATCATGGACCAAGTCTTGCATGTCATTAGTCCCATTTGAAACCCCAATTGATGTATTTTCAGAATTAGATGTGGCTTCATAGTAGTTTGAAAGTTCTCCATGTGCTATCCAATTATTATAACCCTTGATAAAGCCTACCACTTTCAAATGATCATATGCTTCCATTTTAGTCACACAAACACCCATGCCGCAATCTTTGCAAGGACACAAAATCAATCCGTCACAACTTGATCTAGAAAATGCAAAGTTTAGAAACATTTGAAGTCCTGCCTCATACTTTTCACTTGTTCTTGGAAAATCCATCCAACTTTTATCCATACTTTTAATATAAATAAATGTCCTCCAACAAGCTTCCAAGAGCATGAAAACAACAACTACACATTAGTACTTAGAAAAGGCATAGGTTTATGACATGGTTAGACCGCCAGCAGATATTTATGAAGAAAAAGCATTCACCACAGAGAGACAGTGAAATGTGAAAGAAAGAAGAAAATCTATCTAGCTTTTTATTTTATACTCATAATCTTTTTTTGGTCCAAGGATTCTTTTAAGTTGCTATGACTATTCAGCTAATTGATCTAGAAACAGGACTAAATTGAGAAAAAAAAACAGAACCCGTAAGGGTGCTATGTCATCCTGAACTGGGAGGGGTGGAAGTTCGAGTCAATCACACCTACATAATCAAATGGTACACCATTCGATCTCACCCATCTCAATAACGACATAATATTTGTTTGTCTATTCAATAATCTTGCTCAACAACAATCTGAACCTATCTGTCACGGATGCATAACCAGCACATGACCAATGTGCAGTTCAACAAAAAGTCCATTAATTAAGTCCTTAAATATTAATTTTCATCAACCTATTTCTTAAACTTTTGCACTTGTCTTGCAAAAAGGTCATTCCAGTCACCCCATTGCTATTTTGATCTTCATCAAAGAGCTTCCAAGTCGATTTCTATTCATAGCCTAAACAGAGCTTCAATTACAACTAAGTTTCATAGATTAACATTAAAAGAGATTCACAGAAAAAAAATGAAAAACAGGGGGGAATTGATATTTTATCGAACAGGTTATGGGCAACAGCTTCATTGTGTTTACCACTTCAATTTTGGAACAAGATATGCGCACCTGAAATATCTTCCCGCTTTCCCAATGTAGAGCTCCGTTCTTCAGCTTTTACTCCCTGCCTGCCCTTCCAGATGTCTTAGCCGAGGGATTTAAAGTTGAGGTTAGAAAAGATGAAGATGGTTGTTTGCGGAGATAGCTTCGATTGCTACCAACATTCTGGACTGGCCGAGATAGCTTGTATGCTGAGAGGTGAGAGAGATGAGAAGAAGAAAATTTTCACCAAGTCCTTTTGCCGGCAAAATGAAACTTCACAGTACTTCAGCAAGTGTTTTGGAGCCAAAATAAAACGATGTCGTTTTCTGTGTTTTTTTGATTTTTTTTTTTGGTTCATCTCACATTTTCTAGAGTGTCATCATAGGTTACCTAAAGGCACATTATTATTTGTATATCATGATAAAATAAAAAAATTATAGTACATATTATTGAGTTTATTAATAAGTGTCATGATATGTTCACTATAATGACACAAACTAGCAAGTGTCCTTATAGCCATGTCAGGAAAGGTCATTTTTGTTGTAGTGTAAGAAAGTCTAATGTCAGGATTCTTGTCCTTGTATCAAGTTGGCAATTTGGTGATGAAGATTCTAAAGCTTTAAATCCAAATTGAAGATCTTGATAAATATTCTGTTTTAAGAAATTTTGTAGAACCAATTGACACACTTAAATTTAGTTCTTGTGTTAACTTGCCACTTGGATTTTTAACTAATCTGTTGAAGTTTTGATGGATTTGTGAATTTTTATTGCATGAATTTTGTTTATTGTTTGCCCTTGGCGTTTCAGATTTAGCTCCAAATTTTTAGGGATTTTTTTTGATTGACTTGCCATTTGAATTTTAACTATTTATTATCTAATGAAGTTTCAATGAATTTGTGATTTTTTTGCTTGAATAGTGTTTATGTTTTGGCGGTATCTTTTCCAGATTTAGTTCCAAATTTTCAGGGATTTTTGTGGATTTTTACCGTCGTATAAGCTTACTGCATAGGCATAGTCTTACTTGCAAAAAAAAAAAAAAAAAAAAAAAAAAAAAAAAAACAGTGGACCAAGGAACCGTCCGGTTGAACCAGAAAAACCGCGAACTAGCCATCCCTACAGTTCATCTTACGGGTCCGAGTCTAAAAACATTGATAATTTGCAACAGCATTAGGTTTATTTTTAACAGATATTTATTCTTTTTTTAACAGATCAATAATGGTTCTCCATTATCTCCTTGGTGACTCAACACATGAAGCGTCTTATCAATGAGATCATGCTTTGTTGCCCGCAACTACATTAGTGACTACATATCGATGGAAATTTATATGGTTAGCATAGAAAAATGAGAATATGATAATAATAAGTTGGAACAAAATTGAATAGTTCAAGTCTTTAGTAAAAACTTAGTTAGGAATCAAGTAAACTTTAGATCAGAGAAGTGGTTTTAACAATCACCTTTTTATTCATAATTGGACTTGTAGTTTTAGAAATTAATGTAGTCTAACTATCAGAGTTGCTTAAAAGGAAAAAGGCTTGTGCAAGTGATTTAGGTTATGGTAGATTTTCTCATACTATATCAACCTGTGAAATGTTAAAAAAATAATAAATTTAAAACTAGGTATTGTATATAGTTGATAATTACTGGTCAAAATTGATTTTTGCCCTAAAGAAACAAAAACAACAAAATTAAGGATATATAAGTAGGATGACCACTGAGTTTAAAAGTTAATTTTGACAGGTTGGTAGTTACAAATAGTTTGTGCGCATTATTTAGAATGTTTAATGAATAGTCAGTCTCGTGTCAATTACACTTGCATTGCGCATTATTTTCCTTCAATTTTAGCATTTCATGTTGAGCAGTTCGTAACATGGTTTTTATAGTTTTGTAATTCTAAGGTTGTTGATGTCATGGACCTTGAATTCATCTAAGTTTTTTTTTTTTATGCTTCCAGAAGATATTCTTTATTTTGTTGTGAACACAAGAACCAAAGTTTGGGGAGGCTGTGATGTGAACCCACATATTAATTTAGTTTGGGAAGGCTGGTTCTTTGCGACACGGATCGCACCTGATTGCGCGCAATCGTGCGCGTCCGTCCCAAGTCGGACAGACATGCCCTACTATATATAAGAAAAACATCAGAAAAATTAGGACGGCTTGTAGACCCACACTCCAATCCTCCAAACAAATGGCAAGGCATGGAGGCTTGACCAAGGCATGGAGGCTTCTCCAAACATTGTTAAAAGTGTGTAGCACGACCTAGAGGCTTCCGGATCTCTCTCTAGGTTGTTCAAGACCATTGTACATAAGAGACTTAGAACAAGAACGGTGCGAAACCTTCTAAAGATTCACACTTGTGTAGCATAGAGTAAGGAAACGTTCAAGCGATTAGCGGAACGTTCTCGAAGAACAAGTTGTATAGCTTAGTTGGTAGAAGAGTCTAGAGTCATCCTGAGTCTCGAGGGCTTTGCCTATAAATAGAGCAAAACCTCCACATTTATAACCAAGTTGGAAAGTTGGTAAAGAAGCAATTAAGAAGTAGAGAGTTCTTTTGAGCAAAAACCTTTATCTTTGGCTTTTCTTTCCTTCACTTTACATACATTTTCTAATGCTTCCGCACAACCAACAATACTTGGGCACACGAGAGATTAGGCTGAACTAGTGATATTCAGGCAAGAGAAGCTTCCGCACAACCGACAATACTTGGGTGCATGAGAGGTTAGGCTGAACTAGTGATCTTCCGGCAAGAGAGGCTAAACGATCGCTGGTGCCACGCGAGTCGCTGAAGCTACGATAGCCGACCCGTGACATTGTCCACACATGTTCAACTCAGTCAAGCACCAGACCTGCACTACCTTGAGGGGATTGCTGGAAAGACATCCAATCGGTAGCCTCTCTGATTCATCGAGAGAACTGTGACCGAATGTATATAGAGGTTTTGGGTAGATGTATAGAGGTTTTGCTGAAGATGTACAAAGGTTTTAGAATACTCCAATTCCTCTAGAGTAATCTTGTATACTGTAGAATGGTCTAAACTTTGCATATTAAAGGCTTTAGGGGTTAGACTTGTTGAAAAAAAAAAAAAAGATTCATTCTTTTCATAAAAGGTAGAACCAATAAAGAGTGAGTGACGTAAGTTGAGTAGGAGCCAATTATGTAACAATTTGTTTATTTTAGTTTGTTTGATAAATTTGGAACTTTTTGAATTTCTCATTATTCAATTATGTTAGTGAGCTTTGTACTTATTCAAATATTTTTTTTATTTAATTTAATTATTATTTTGAACTATAGGTGTACACGCACGATTCTCATTGGACTTCTAAACTCACACACTTTTTTATTTTTAAATTTAAGATACTCAAGATCACTGATGTAGGTTTTGGAACCTACTTGAAGTCCTA